GTTGCCAAACACCAAACCAGGCTGCCCAGAGCCACAAGAATGGGGCATCCACAACCTCCTTGGGCAACCTGTTCCAGTGCATATTTTGTTATGTCACTGCATGTTCCTTCCTCTAAATGCTGGAAAAAGCAAAGGAAGTTACTGCAGCATAGGAAGTTCCGCACAAATGTGTGCAAGAACTTCTTTATAGTGAGGGTGACGGAGCACTGGAACAGGCTGCCCAGGGAGGTGGTGGAGTCTCCTTCTCTGGAGATGTTCAAGACCTCCCTTGATGCCTACCTGTGCAACCTGCTGTAGGGAACCTGCTTTGGCAGTGGGGTTGGACACGATGATCTCTGGAGGTCCCTTCCAACCCCTACAATTCTGTGATTCTGTGAAGTGCACTGAGCTGGGTACTTCGAACAAGCTGCAAAGTGTTCTTGCTAGATTCACATTTCTGAAGCAGTTCATTGCACTGCCTGATCCCTGCCTCTGAAAAGTTTTTCCTTCTGCAAAGTAGATAAGTAAAAGACAAATATTTCAGTACTTGTTGGGATCCCTCAAGAAATCGGTGCCTCAACATGACTCAGAGCTACACGCTGCTGCTGCATTTTAATGAAGATCTTGATAAAGACATATTTGTGCATTTCAGAAAACTGGGTAAGAGTTCTGAAAGACTTTTTTCACCCTTAGCAGCATGGCACGCTACAGTGCTCAGTGCGATCACAATTCTTCCTCTACAGCATCATGCATGATCCACAGAAGAATAACATGCATTATGCACTGTCACATGCCCGTGCAAATGGTTCTCTGAAAGTGCCTATGCTACTCTGATTATCAAAGCAAGCTCTGCAGTGGAAGCAAAGCAATTGGTGTCTGTCTCCAATTCGTTTTCCTTTTTAAGTTGTGTACTGAATGTAGGCTTGACAGGAACAAAGATCTTAACCACTATTTTTACATTTTCTGCTACACTTCCTCTTCTTCAGCATCAGAGTCTGTTGTTACAACATATGAAAGGGTTTCATGCAGAGTGTCAGCTGGCAGCGAGGGGAAAACCTTCTCTTTACCACCCATCAGTACATATTGCTGCGTCGCATGCCATGCTTTGACACACATCAAAAGGCTGTTGAGTGTGGAGTTTCCGTGGTACTTTCCTACTTGTTTACACACTATCATTGGAATCTATCAACAGTTAGTAAGACTCACTGGTTGGTAAGTTTTCCCACACTCTCATTAGCTTCTCTGCTGCTGTTTGCTATTTGTTTTGCTACTCTGAGAGGGCAGTCACTCCTCTTGCCATCGCCTGCAGAGCACTGAAGCCCGAAGTTATTGCCTTACTACCACACCCACCCTCAGAAATGATTGATATGGGCTTGGGCAGCGAGCTTCTGTGCTGCGAGCTGTACACAAGGTACACTTACTGAGCTATTCTCCAAAAATCATAAATCATTCTCCTACTGTTTGTGTTTGCTTGCTAAGAGAAAAAAAATGCCCTGAGATCAACCTACTACTGTTCAATACCACTGTACCAAGAAAAACATGCCTCAGCAGGTTGCCCAGATTTGCTAGTATTAGGCAATTTTATGCTGAATATATTCTCTTTTTCATGTCTTGTACAGAATGCTAGAAGTTTAGGGAAGACATTAAGTTTTATTTCCCCGTTTCAGTTGATTTTTTTCCCTGATGAGTTTTCTCTGATTAAGTAGAATTCACTAGTAAAATGTTTATGCCTTTCTTATTTTTATTATCTAGCTGTTAAATATTACAATTCTAAATTTGAAATGCTGCACATGGGAAAATATCAAAGTACTCTGGGATGCAAAGTTCTGTTCAATCGGAAGCGTGCAAAATATTTTCATCCTGCATAATCTGATTCTTAGCACATTAAACAACCAAGTGCAGATTTCAGCTGTACTTGGTGACTAAACTTATACAAGTTTGGTGAGGAAAAGAGGACAATAAAAGCTTCAAAGGTAAGAAATGAAATCAGTCTATGTGTCAAAGTAGTTGAGTTAGACACAAAACCAGAATGTTTACATGGGATAAATAGCCTTTAAATGTGATGGTGATGTGAGATGTCAATGACAGCAATATCCTAAAATTAGTTGTTTCAGAGTTGGAACAGACTTTTTGCAACATGGTGGACTTCCTAACATACCACGTTGGTTCATACTCTATATGGTCATAAAAGCATCAGCAAAACATCCCTGTGGAAGGATCATTATTTTTCACTCAGAGGGTGGTGATGCACTGGAACAGGTTGCCCAAGGAGGTTGTGGATGCCCCATCCCTGGAGGCATTCAAGGCCAGGCTGGATGTGGCTCTGGGAAGCTTGGTTGCCAACCCTGCTCACTGTAGGGGGTTGAAACTGGATGATTGTTATGGTCCTTTTCAACCCAGGCCATTCTAAGATTCCATGATTATGGACTGGCTAACACATTTCAACAAATGCTTATTAAAGATGATCCAACACATAAATGCAATATTCATAGTAAGATTGTGGTAGTTTTATTTGGACCAAAACTGACATTTTTATTTGGTATGGAATATAAGATAAACTTAGTTCTACTGTACTGTGTTAATGACACAAAAATTAGAACAGAACAGTTATACATAGCATAGACATACACAGCAAAATGAATGCTTGAATTTCTATCTTATGGCAAGAAAGCTGGGAAACACCTTTAATAGCTGAGATCCATTAAGTTGATAAGAACCCTGATAGGTAAAACCATGAGCTTTCTTGGAAGATACAGAACAGAAAGGAGTATTAGAAACTCCAGGCTTTGGAAAATAGGAAGGTCTGTGTAGGACAAGATGTAATACTAAAAGGAGTGGAGCATGACATGCAGTTTGCATGTTCATCTTTGTTAAATGATACTAAAACATACTGAGAGTAAGTTCAGCCAATCAACCAACCAGCCAAGCAGGTAACACATGAGAATAAGTTATTCACTTCCCATGACTGAATTGTGTTACAGGTACACAGAAAATTCCTATGACTCAGAGAAGTAATAACAGGCATCTTTGTTGGTCAAAAAGAAAACCAATGTGTGACATTTTTGTTAAGTTAGAAGGTTTGGACTTTTTGCAAGAGCTGTTTTCAAGTGGTACTAATGCATAAGGATAAACTGTAATATTACAACTACGGTAAATGAAAGTGCCCAAATAAATTCTGTTGATTTACTTTGTGTAGCTGCTACAGAATATACCCTCATGCATTACTGTTCTGGCTCTGATGTAATTAGAAAATAACTCTGAAAACAAGATAATGTAAGTTATAAAAGGTCCATAACTACCAATAAACAGGAAATTCTACAGTTTTTCAAGTCTGAATCCATTTCTAGGAGATGTACACAAATCAAATGCAAGCTCTTCTGCTGGACGTAGGGAGAAATAGCTTTAATGTTACAGTAATGTATTGTGTACAAAGATCTGTTGGTGCCCCTTCTAGACTCACAGGAAATGAATGTGTGATTCACATTAGAAAAGAAAGGTAGTTAAGATGAGAGGTAAGTTGTAAGATGTCAGTCATTGCCTCCTTTTCAAATAAGTTAGGTTAAAAAGTTTTAATGGATGAAGTTATTCCTATCAAATTTCACTTACTATAGCATAGGATATTCAGGTTATCTATTTCTACAGTACTGTGTTAAAATTAGTCTCACCAATTATACTGTAATAGAAAAAGACCAGATAAATCTAAGCTGAGAGTTGAACAGTGTATTACTTAAAACACATATTAAGGAAACCATATATACATATATATGAATGTCCTATGAAAATCAGTAATAGGGTTGCATTTTAAACTTTGCTTTCCCACACTGACAACACATGGGCAGTTTAACAGTTTTAACAGAAAACACTTCATTTTCTAACATCTTTATTTTATAGTCAGGTATAAAGATAAATCTAAATTATGTAGGACAGTATTCTAAATAAAAAGCTACCTACTTTCAAACAATAGATGAATGTCTCTGGCTACATCTAGCCAGAACTAATACCTGAAGTATAAGAATAGACAAAGTACTGTAAATTCCATGAATGACAAGCACATAACTAAAATAAGACAAAGAAAAAAAAATCTACTGTTCATTATTTTAATAGGAGTCACCGATGGTCACTTTGTTAAGAAAGATCTTACCCAGCATTGAGCACTTAGTGTTACATGGCTGCTTAGTTAATATCCTCTATGCTCCAAGTTCCTCTGTTATCAGTAATCTATAATCAGTAATTGCTGGCTCTAGATAGTGAGTTGTTCCAGTTTAAAATCCATCTGGATGCAGTACTTTCTTCACCTATTAATTCTTCTTTTTAGCTACGGGGAAACATATATTTGAGCATTTGAAGTTGGACTATCTGAAGGTTTCATCTGAACATACTTGTTCCTACACCTTTTATAGCTGGAAAGCTTATGTCCACTTTTTACCCACATGAGGACACTCTGGCAGTCTTACGGCTGCAGCATTGGTTGCAATATTATTTGTACGAATTTCCCATACAACAAAATACTGGCCATCGGAGCTGTAGTATCCTAAGAATGCAAATATGTACTAATACTATTTTTTCTGGAGGAAAAAAATATGTAAGTCTCAGTCTTCAGAGAAAAGAAAAAAAGAAAGAAAAAGAAATCAAATCTTATTTGATTGGCTTTACATTACTTTTTAAAGTAAAATTGTCACATACTGTGTAAAAACATGGAAATGGTAATATCTTTTTTCCTAAACAGCTTGTGGCTATGGAGAGAACAAAAAAAGCCCAAAACAAACAAACAAACAAAAAACAAGTATTTCCAAAGATATTAGATTATTTTTTAAAAAAAATAATAATTAAAAAACAAGAACAAAAGAAATCACCTTGCTTTGGCGCAGGTATTGGGCTACTTTACTGTTTGTAGTATTTGAACAAACAAAAACAAACAGCCAAACCAACAAACAAATAACAAAAAAACCCTATCCTGCCTGGAAAAAATTACCCACACTGCATTGCATTATAGCTTCATTAGGTTTGTTTTAGATGCTAATCTATAACTCCACTTCTCCAAGACACTTTCTAAGTTCTTCTGCCTTTTTCTCTATCTGCTGAATGTTCCAGTGCCATTGTCTTTTATTTGAATGCAGTTTGTTCAGCTGACAGTGCAAACGTTTCAGAATAGCGTCGTATCTTTTATTCTGTACCTAAAAAAAATAGAATAAAATGCACTTCAAAAGTTTTTCAAGTAAAGCATGGCAATATCTTTTTTTCCTAAACAGCTTGTGGCTATGGAGAGAAGAAGGGAGAAAAAAGAAAAACAAACAAACAAACAAACAACAGAGTTTATTTATTTACAGAGTTCTGTTCACCTAATTGTATGTGTCAATTCTGACATCCAACTGTGCCATTCCATGCTGACTTCACAGGTACTGAAAAAACACAGAAACATTTAAGAAGCCATTGATCTAGTTTACTTTCTTTACCTGCTTTGGGAAAATATCAATCATACCTCTTTCTCCCCTTTAGGAAAAAAAACAAAAACAAACAAACAAAAAAACCTGTTTCCCATCAAAAGTTTAGGTGACTAATTCAATGTTCATACCAATGTTTAACACAGTAAATTCCATCTGAAAAATCATGAGTGAGTACCTTACAGCTGTGGCAAAGCTTTGTACATGGAGCATTTCATGTTCCAGGGTAAGAAGTCAGAAAGGAAGAAATTTTCATTCTTTGATTAGAGTGTTTGGATATAAGAATACAAATGAAGCAGTCCAGATGGCCTCTGTAGCATCTTCACTGTTAGCATGCACTTAGAAAAATGTTTGTTTATTGTTTTTCAGAAAGGCAAACCTGTAACAATGCAGTACCAGATCAGTTTTGCCCCTACTGAGAAGTACTGCTGTCACAGACAACCCTTTGGAGATTTGCTTTCTGAAGTGTAAAAGCATGAAACATTCATTGCAATAAAAATGGAAATATACTTAATGAAATTTCATTTAATGAAAATTTGGCCTCAGCATAATTTGAATAATGTATGAGTGGCAATACATTCTAGTGCCAGAAAGATAAAACATCATTACATTGTATTAAACGCTCATGATGGCGTACAGCTGCAACAGAGCTACAGCACTGACAATGATTCCTGTGAGTCATTAAATTTCTTACAGATCAGGCTGCCCAGAGACCCATCCAGACTGGCCTCAAATGCCTCCAGGGATGGAGTAAGACTTAGATAAGTACTTGAAATCATTGCTGAATTGAGGTACAAGAAGTTCTACAGCAATAACAAATCATTAATCAGATACGAAGATTTCCTTTACCTGGAAGCTTAGAAATATGGCAGCTCACATTCTCTCTTTAAACCAATGAGAGGAGGTCAGTTACTGTTAACATAAGCATGGTTAGAAGCTGAAAATCCATGCAAGATGTAAAAGTGCTATGACAAACTCTGAAGGCGTGAGGTGGGATCAGTTTGCAGACTGACAGCTAGCTTTTGAGGCATATGCCTGATCCACATTCTTGTTTTTTGATCAGCAGAAGTCCAGCCAATATGTAGTATAAACCTACAAAGACTGGATTATGCAATTCACCCTACTGTAAGCAGCCACATTTGGCCAACTGAAGTGACCTCTGCATCAGTTGGACTGACTATATCTCCATTGATTATAATGGGAACCAGTGTCTTGAGCTGAATCCCATCTTTGCAGCTTAGTGGGACTTCATCCAGTGTCTTCCTTTATTCACATGCTTGCACTGCGTATTCTTTCCTGGGTTGTGCTGAGGACTGCTGGGCATTAATGTTTCTGCTTGTCCATTGTCCCTTTATGTACAAAATGCTGGATTGTTTTACAGAGAACTCTTAAGAAAAATTATACCCTGAACCATTTGATTTTTAATCCTGCTTGCTTCTGAGAGACAAAGATTTTATAATCCAAATTGAAAAATATGTTAACCTTCTCTACTTAATTAAATTGGTTTTGATAACAGAGCACAACATTGTTTTTAGGCTGCCTAATTTCACTATGGGTTTAGAGAACTTTATTAAGAAGCTGTTGCCTTGGTAATAAAATATTTTTCAGATGCTGAATAGCAGAGACCAACACCAAAGTAGCTGTGCTTTGCTCTTTAGTATAAAAATTCTGTGCTGCTCTCCATCACTTGAAAAATTATTCTTTTTTCTTCCTGCTTTTTACAGTGGGCACCAGAGGTAACCTCAGTTCAGTTAATCCTTACATTATCATGCTTTGATCATCACATTTTGCGCAATTTATTTGAATTAAAAAGGCAAATGAAGTGCAACTTTCAAACTAAAAACTTTCCAGACATGCAAATTACTTCAGTGTGGAACAAACCATAAAAATTCAATTTAATTACCGAAAAAGAGGAGAGCTAAACTATCTATCAGAATTTTATCTTGGCAGCTAATTAGGCGCTCCTGTGTTATCCCTAATTTAACGTAACTCAAATTAGGGAGATTCACTGGAAAGCCATTTTTTTGGTGCAATTGATTTTGCCATTGATGAGGTATCAGCAGTGGGGGGACAAGTCATGAATAATTAAGTCAGCAGTGAGAATTAAAATATTTCAAAATATACTGCAGAAATAAAATGTACTTTACTGTAATTCAGTGGCCTCTTCAGAACGCAATTTACAGATTAAGTCTTTCTTAGAAGACTTAAGAAAAAATTTTCTTAGCTTTTTCTCATGAGCCCAATGAAGATCTGGACTTTAGAAAAATTAGCAGTACCATGAATTTAAGACAGTCTAGTTACTGTATATACTTGAATAATGCATGGCCAGCAACCATGCATCAGGTACTTCAAACTTCATCTGTACTATCTACAATCTGTCAGAGAACTGCAATTATGTTTTATTTAAAATGACTCACCTCAATTTCTTTTCTAAGCTTAGCATGAGCTTTTTGAATTTCTTCCAGCAAATCTGTTTTTTTCTTGATGAAATCCTTCACTGATGCTATTTCCTGTTTTATAAGTGCAATTTCTTCCTGCAGATTTAAGATAAAGAAATCCCCTCGTTTCAAAGGTTGCACAATATATCTACTCACTGTCTACTTAACAGTCTCATTTAGTTAATAAAAATGGGTTGAAAATTTCTAATATATAATTTCACACTCAACTAATAAGAAATTAATAATTAAAGATAATTAAAATTGTAATTAAAAATATCATAAAATCATAGAATCACCGAAGTTGGAGAAGACCTCCAAGATTATCCAGTCCAACCATCCATCTACCACCAATATTGCCCCACTAGACCATGTCCCTCAATATGACATCTAAATGATCCTTGCACACCTCCAGGATCAGTGACTCAACCACCTCCCTGGGCAGCCCATTCCAGCACTTGACTGCTCTTTCAGAGAAGCAATTTTTTACAATAGCCAACCTGAATCTATGGTTTTATGTACTTTAAAAGATGCACTATTGGTCTGTAGTATGCAAGAAACTACAACAGAAAAATCGGAACTCATTTGGATGCTTATAATCTTGTTTCAAATCTTTTTGTTTGTTTGTTTTTGCAAAATCAAGGAATATTTACTGTAATATTTGAGATAGATTTTTTCTTTCTCGTGGGAAAGCGTAAATATAATAATATAATGATAGTGTAAATGGTCTTTATTTTATTGGGGTTTCAAAAATTCCTTGCATAAAAAATTTTTATCATTTTACTTGAATAATGTAATACTGCATTTTCAACAATGCCACTTGTACCAGAGTTGCAATTTGTGATTTCATTTCATAGAATCATAGAATCATAGAATCACCAAGGTTGGAAAAGACCTAAAAGATCACCCAGTCCAACCGTTCACCTATTCCCAATAGCTCCCACTAAACCATGTCCCTCAACACAACATCCAGCCTTTCCTTGAACACCCCCAGGCTCGGTGACTCCACCACCTCCCTGGGCAGTCCATTCCAGTGCCTGACCACCCTTTCTGAAAAGTAATACTTCCTCATGTCCAGCCTGAATCTCCCCTGCCATAGCTTGAAACCATTTCACCTTCATGCATGTGTTCGCTCATATATTAGCAAATTTTTGTGGTGGGAACTGCCAGCTTATTTTTAGTTGTTAATGATTCTTGCAATTACAGTCAAAAACTAGAACGCCAAAAACAATTTAATGTTTCTTATCTCCTGCTTTCTATCACCCTCTCATCGAACCTATTTTCTGCTGGCTCAGCTGTGGTTTGATCCCTAGAAAGAAATGCAGTGCTGTTACAAGAAAAGTGTAACATCACGGCAGTGTTCCACAGAATTATTAAAAGTATGTATTTAACTTTACCCTACTAACCACAAAACCACTTGGCAATAATATATTTTAATTAATAACCCTCTAATATTTTCATAACTGAGCTCATTCAGCTAAAGAGAATGAACTCCACAATAATATAACAGGGGCTGATGATTTTTTTACTGCAGCTGATAACTTATTTTCTTCAATTAATTTATCATTTTAAATGAATCTTTATTCCCCTAGTCAGTTAATCACAGATATAGAGTTATTAGACCAAATAATTGTATCAGTTAAGCTGCGCCAAAATTGTTGCACAGGAAAAGAAATGAATCAATGAGGAAATACAATACCTGCATTTGCTTTATAGCAGAGCCTTCTGGATTCTGGAGGTCACTCATTAACTCTTCTTTCTTTGTTCTCATCGCTATAACAATAGCTTTCTTTTCAGCAAGCTCAATCACAATGGGCATTTTACTTTCCATCTCCCAAAAGAGACTTTTATGAGCTTTTATTTTTTCCCGATATTTACTATTTCTTGCAGCTGTCATCTCATATTCTTCCTGTATTGTTTCTGTATCAAACCTCAGCTTCATATTTTCAGAATATAGAGCTCTTACTTCAGCTTCTAGACTTTCGCAGTGATACTTCGTCACCGCTATGGCATCATCTTGCAGATATATTTCCCTTTCTGTTGTCTTCATTTCTAACATAATAGAATCCATTTTTTTTTCTAGTTCCTGATATCTAACCTGTAAAACATGTCAGCATTCATTTAAGAGTGCTTTTGTTTGAGAGGATGTCATGTATGTTGTTAAACACTGTAATTCAAATTTATCAACCAGAAGATTCTTTTTCACTTCTTTAAATGTGTTTGACTGGAAGATAATCAGGAATACATTTCGTGAAATCATAGAATCATCACCTTAGAGACATAATGGAGGAATGCTATTTTAGATGTATATCCTTAAATAGAGTCTAAAATATGAAATAAGGCATTCTTTGAATCACTTTAAGTTACATAGGATCAAATGCAATCTTAATGCTTTTTAGAGACAGAAATCAGACTAAAACCACACGGTGCTAAAAACACACTTAGACACACATACACAAACACATAGATGGGTACTTGCGATGAGGGAGATTAACTAGCCTGTTCTACTGAAGACATTATCCTGCTCTCATCGCTGTAATATCTGAGCGAAGGATTAATGTCAGCTATTTTAAAACCTTTAAGAAATAGGCACCTAGCCCTACAAGGGCTTCTGTGTCTTCTCACGGATGAGAAGCGAGCAATTCCAGGAATCAGTACTTCATCATCCCATCATAATATGGGAGGACTCAATCACTGCCTCAGAAATGCTTGTCTCTTTTCGTTGTCCAGAGGGAGATTAGATGACTAATTTGGGCTTAACATATGATCTGCAGGTGATGCAAGACAGCTGTGATGAATCCCACCCTGTGTAACAGCCAACTACTGTGTATTAAGTGAGAGAATTTTGCACTGCAATTGAAGCTGCCTATTATCTTTTCCCTAATGGAAGCATTACGAGTGCTATGAAGTCTCCTATTCAATATTTTGAACCTAATGAGACACTGTCAGCTCTTAAGAAGAAAATGTTTCAGCATAACTTACAGTAAACAGGGTTAAAGTTCTTGCAGGATTGGTATCTCTGCCACCATTTATTGAGTACAGGAAAACAGAAGATTTTAATGGAAAAGATCTTCAGTTCAGGAAATCACCATTTTACATGTCTTATGGGACACATGCATGTAGGAATAGACTGAAAGATGAGAACACACTTCTGCATACAGTTCCTAATTATTTAACCTTGTTGTTCTACTACTTATTATGTCTGTATGGAATTTCCTAAGGTTTGGGGGATTTTTTAAAGGAAAAAAGATGTCAGAGAGGAAGAAATGAGCTAAATTAATTATCTAAGATTCTGAAGTTCTGTCAGTTTTTGAAAACTGAAACAATTATTTAAATTTCTTGATCAAAAATTAATTGTTACAAAATAACCATGGCATATTACAGTACAGTAAGAGAAAACTTCCTGCAAGGTTTGGCTAATTAGCCATTCCTAATCAATTAAAATCACAGAGTTATCATAGAATCATCAAGGTTGGAAAGGACCCCTAAGATCATTTAGTCCAACCATCCACTGCTCCTTATGAGAAATTATCCTTGTGCAGGAACTCAAACATCAATTATTTCAGTTGTACAGCTATTCACAGATGTTATCATAGATCTCCATTTAGTAATCACTCACACTTAAAAATGCCTGAACAATACTGTGGGTTTCCTCAGACTTAAATGTTCACCTCTCAACAGACATTTGGTCTCAAAGCATAAGTGACAATTGGAAGCTTAACAAATTCTGTGAAAGATTACAATGGAAATGAGTACTCAGTCTTCAGGAAAGCTACGCATGTCCAATATTCTACCAAATAGACAGATAGATAGATAGATAGATAGACAGATAGATAGATAGATTTGGTATTTAACAACTCTATGGGACACCTATTACACATGCAAATTAAAAACAGTCTGTATGGAAAAAGAAATTCTGTATGACAGGAAAAAAATCTATCCAAAGTGATGCTCTCAAAACCTCCTTTTTTTTTCCTTTTTTTTCTCCCATTCATTTTTTAAGAAATCAATGGGATAAATGCAATAAGCTCTAAGTTGAAATGGAGTATTTTGTGGGATGATTGCTTCAATGTTTTATCCTCAAAATAGCATTAAATAAATGTTTCTGCTATAATTTGCTCTAAGGAAGTCTTAGCTAAGGAACTGCCTTAAAATGATACACACACAGTTTTGGCAATGGCTAAACACCACAGAGAAGAACTGAACAGCTTACGCTTAAATGCAAACACCCAGAAAAAAATCAAATATGTTCATGTCTTTTTCATCAGAATACATCCATATTTAACGAATAAATTAAATGAATTAAGCTACTCTAAAGAAGGTTTATTACCTGTGATTGGAAAAGAATGGTTTTGTTTTTTTCTATCTCTGATGACTGTAAATGCTGCTGCTCAGCAACTTGTTTTACAACTTCAGTTAGCGAAGGATAATTCTCCTCAGCCATTTCAGACAAAAGGAATGACCTATAAAGGACATGAAAGGGCAGTGAGGCCCTGACACAGCTGCCCAGAGAAGCTGAGAATGCCCCATCCCTGAAGACATTCAAGACCAGGTTGGATGGGGCCCTGAGCAGCCTGAGCTGGTGGGTGGCACTGCCCATAGCACGGGGTTGGACCTGGATGGCCCTTAATGTCCCTTCCAACCCAATGATTCCGTGATTCTGTGAACACAGAATTGAATTGTCTTATCATCATTTTATTTGCTGTTAATGTTAGAGAACAATAATAAGGACTTTCCTGTGGGAAATTTTGTTTGGTTGCATACACACAATTTTGTTTTGTTTGTGGACCAGTGGGTGGATGCTCAAAGCCTGTAAGAATTAGAACTCTTTCTTCAGGCATATTTTAAAATGAATGATCAGTGTTTTTTTCTCTGTAGGTCATTAGTATTTTAATACAGCAATCCTAAATGATCTTTAGAGCACACCTTCATAATCAGCCTGAATATTTACATCATTGACATTACTATATAGCAACTGTGTGTTATTTATTAAATTATTCTTAGCTTAAGACAAAAGAAGACCAAGATGTCAGACTGTAAGTCATAAATCAGTCTCCCCAAGAAACATTCTCGCTGTGCTGCCCACCCCTCAGTATGTCACAACAGCCACCTCAGCCCTCGCTGCCCCTTCCCGCCCAAAGCGCGGCCCACCGTCCTCCAGGGAGCACCAGCCACTCCTTAATGTATAGTCTTGTGTCACATCCACACTGATCCCTCTGAATGCCAGGGGAAATACCTTTAGCCTTAGATCCAACCATTTTTATCGTTTAATAAGCTCATCCCTGCCCATCATCTGTTTATTTAATCCCTTTTTTGAGGTGGTGGAAGCTGAATGTAACACAGCAGCTGGAGACCTTACACCAATTTGTTGTTTGTATCCTGACATTGTGTGGCTTGTATCTTGGCTGTTTTCTAGCCTTTTCTTTATCCCTTTTCATCACTATGTACTCAAAGTAACCCTAGTAATTGCAGTGTTTTGGGTTTGTTTTTTTTTTTTTCGTTTGCTTAGTCTGGTTGAAGGAAAGGAAGTGGTTTTGTTGGTCTGCCTGTCAAGTCATGCTGTTAATTTTTACGCTCTATCCTACTTCATCCATGTCTGACAGTGGGCTGAAAGCCTCTAAGACACCCAGTATCTGCAAACAACATGAAAACAGGTACCTAGATACTCGAAGGAGGACACAGTCACCTCAGTTTGCTTTGGGACAGAAAACTGGGAGAGTTGAGCTCTCCTCCCTTTGCCCAGTATGTGATGGAAGGAAAAAGGGAGGAGAAATGACAGAGGACCCCTAAGGAGTGTTTGGCATCTAGCAGGAAAGGAGGTACAGGAGTCACAGGAGAGCAATTTGTAGGAAATCAGACTTCCAAGACCAAATTCCTCTGTTCATGGAAAAAATATTTTCTTTCTCCTTTCTCTTTTTTTTTTTTTTTTTTTTTCTTTTTTGCTTGTTTCTTCAGTTACCATATACTTATCTGCTATGACTGATTTTAACACAGCTGAGAAAATACATTTATTACCAAATGGCTTGGAACAACCCTGATACAAATTCCTCTTTCCCCCACTTGCCTTTTGACCACTTCTTTGCCCTGTCCAAACACTCAGACTCTTTTTACTGAGCTCTGCAAAATTTCCCTCTGCTCCAAAGCCAAGTTGCCTTCCATGTTGCAGGCTGTGGTAAGGGCTGGCCTCTCGTAACCCGAGTCCTGCTGAATGTGCTTTTTCTTGACTGACTGCCAAATCCTTGGCTGGAACATGCAGCTACATGTGCCTTGCCTTGCATGTACCCTAAAAGAGGAACCTCTGGGTCTGCACAAGTGCTTCCTTAACTTCTTTGTATCCTTGTTCTGCTCTGGTGTGCAGCGCATCTCTGAATCCAAGGTTGTGCAATGCTATTGAATTAGGTGTGATGACAGAAGTGGGTTTCACGGTGGAGTTAATGCTGCTTCCGGGGTTAGTGCTAGCCAGGCACTGAATCATAGCAGTGCTTTTCAGTGCCGTTTGTTATTTCCTGTGCCCAGTGACAGCAACTGAGCAGAGTCTCATCATGAAGAAGAAATACAGGTTCCCATTCCAATCTTACCTAGAATAGGAATTTCCACTTTGTGCAAATCAGCTGCAGGACTGACTGTGAGATGTAATATATATAAAGCTGGCAATGTGTGCTTACATCAGATGATAACTTTCAAGAGGTTGAAAGAACTTCCTGCCTGTGTAAGTAAATTCCTGTGCTTTAAACTCTCGAGTTTACTGATAAAAACTGCGTACACTTTAGTATTTTCATTCTAAGTGGTGATTTGTTTCTTCCACCTTTCCTGAATACTTCTAAGTTAAGAGAAGCAGAATATTTTAATCAAAGTTAAGAGCTCTTTATGACTTTTTTCCCTTTTTAGTTCTTTGTTTTTGAAATTTTAGTGCAAGTGTGCTCTTGTACCTGTTCATTTGGATTGCTTTAGTGGTCTGTTTCCTCTGGGTATCTCTTTTTTTCCAATGTTAAATATTTCTTTCCTTCTCCGAGTTTCTGTAAGATAATGTGACCGTGACCAGTAATATTCACAGATGCAGGAAGTTGCCAGCAATCTTGTCTAGACCAATCTTATGAATTAGACATCTGGGTTTTTTGAAAATTGCTAAAAAGCAAGACATCTTTCTGGGTTGCCTTTACCACTTGGTTTTATTTAATTTACAGTTTCTTTTCTATATTACCTTTGCCTTTCTCTGTCACTCTTGATCTCCTCTCCTCATCTATCATTTTTTATTATATTTTCTTGAAATCTGTGCCACAGGATCATTTTACTGTCTAAATTTTTGTGCGGACAGAGATTCAGAGGGTAAGTGAAACAGTTAACAAGTGGCCTTGATTTGAAGTTGGTGCAAGTATTTGTCTTACATTGTGTACAGAAATGCGCAACTCAGTTTTTGAATGCATTTCATGCAGTTACGTGTAGTGTGACTTTCCATGGAACACTGGGAGTGTAGAGCGTGTTGCTTAAAACCTGAATAATCAGGAATGCATTTCTGGTGAGGCCAGTCTCTTTTCAGTGGTACATGGAGACAGGAGAAGGGGAAACGGACACAAACTGCAACATAGGAAGTTTTGAACAAATGTGCACAAGAACTTCTTTACGTTGAGGTGACGGAGCACTGGAACAGGCTGCCCAGGGAGGTCGTGGAGTCTCCTTCTCTGGAGATATTCAAGTCTCGCCTGGATGCCTACCTGTGTGACCTGCTGTAGGGAAACTGCTTTGGCAGGGGATTTGGTCTCGATGATCTCTGGAGGTCCCTTCCAACCCCTACAATTCTGTGATTCTGTGATTCTGTAACAAGCCAAAACATTGCTTTGCTTGGCAAGCCTGTATTTTGAGTAGGATTTTTTGGAGGGGACTTAGGAAGCAGACATGAACTATATTTCTACTATATGATATATTTCTACTATAACTCTAAGCAAATGTACTTCTGACACTGCTATGAAACAGTAGGCCTTTGCTACAAAACTGGAAGGGTTGGAGGGTGAATCAGCCCCATTGTTTCTGTACATACATCTCAATAACTGCCTCTGCATACTTCTGATAATGCACAGATGGCTTAATAACTATGCAGGCAGTTACCTCTCCTTCAGCAAACACTTTCCTTCCACCCTTTCTTCGGTGGTATTTCTATGGGGAAGTATGAGGACGGCCATGAGCTCTACTTAACTCTCCTCTATTGACATATCTGAAGCAGTATGTGGAACAGTGATCTATTTTTCTACCACACCCCTCTGTTGTACTGCCTTTGCTGGGGCAATTAGCTATACCTAGATGAGGACTTGTCATACTCTTATCTACCTCCCACAGAGAGTGCCAAGGTAAGGAAGGAAATCTCCTGATTTCCCAAGTCGCGATCTTTAACATGAGCCTCTTCTGAAGCTGTTTCCTGAGCAAGCTGTTTTCTCTAATGTCTGTGATCAGTTCTGTGTAAATAATACCCTGAGCAAAATCAAGAGTCGTAAATTCCTTGGCAGATGCTTTTATCTGCTGTCACATTTTGATACTTTCAGCTCACCAGCTTTGATAGTCTCTAATTAATCTTTGTAAGTGTTCAATTCGCAGAAAGGAAAACACCATTTTCAGTCAGGATTGTTTTTCTTCCAGTCTGGAGGAAAGAACAATGAAGAAAACAAAGGATGTTTTCTGTAAAACCCGCTCAGAATAAACAATCCATTAAAACAAGAAGAGTATTTGACCTCTCATTTGAGTGTAGAAACTAGGGTCTACTATCAGACACAAAATGCCAGGAAGGGCACCAAGTGTCTCATGGTGATAGGTCTCAAGTACACACTGATACACTGCATGTTCTGCTTGATAATGAAATACTGTGAAGTCAGCGTGTGTAGTTAGAGGAAAATGAGGAACTGGGACAGAAGAATGGTCCCAGATATTATCTGATATATATGGCTCTGGTAATAGAGCACTGAGTTTAAAGACTCATAACACTCAAATTCGTTGTTCCTGTAAACTAGTAATTTGTGTTCATGAACAGTTCATTTCTGTGTAGGAATATATAATAAAAATATAGGAATATATAATAAAAAGTGGAAGTATCTCACAATCCACAAGACAAGCTATGTACTACAGGATGATAGCAGCTAGCAGAAACTGAAACACGAGGATTGTTTATTTCTTGCGCTGCTTGGCAAAGTTTCAGTATGCTGTGCTGAGTTCCTACGTGTCCTGAGAAGAAGAACTATGCCTAACATATAACCCCCAGAACAGAAGTCAGAAATGAGCAAACTGATGCTGTTGGTAATGCGAAAGGGAAGAAATAAATATCTTATGAGGAGAAAACATGTGGCTGTATTCAGAACCCAACACCAATACTGCCAGTAGGGGTATCAGATACGAGCTCCACCTCAGCAGCAAATGTATGAAGTGCCTCCAAAAAATTGTTCTAGAAATTCCTTGTCTCCCAGCAAGTTTAAATTATGAAAACCTCCCTCTTTGATACCCCTCACAGAAGGTCTTGGCAGTCAGAGATCAAGAAGATCGGTACATTAATGTGTGTTAAGAGATTCAATAAATCTAATGTTAAGAACAAACCCTTTTTCATCTCTGATCTCGGATAAAACTTAGGTGAGATAGTAGACAAATTAAAAAGTATGTAAAATAATTTCAATTTCCTGTAGTTTTCGTAGAATCACAATATCAGAGAGTGGCTTGAGGTTGGGAGGGACCATAAAGCCCATTGAGTTCCAAGCCCCCTGCAGCAGGCAAGGTTGCCAGCCACCAGCTCAGGCTGCCCAGGGGCCCATCCAACCTGGCATTGAGTGCCTCCAGGGATGGGGCACCCACAGCTTCTCTGGGCAGCCTGCCCCAGGGCCTCACCATCCTGAGTAAATAATTTCCTCCTAACATCCAACCTAAAGCTCCCTTCATTTAGTTTAAAACTGTCCCCCCTTGTCTTATCACTATCTGCCCATGTATTAATTCCATCTCCCTTCTGTTTGTAAGTTCCCTTTAGGCAATGAGATCTCCCTGGACACTTCTACAGGCTGAAGAAGCCCAGCTCCTTTATCTTTTCCCCATAGGAGAGGTGCTCTAGCCTTCTGATGATCTTCATGGCCTCTTCTGGCCTTGCTCCAACAGCTCCACATTTTTCTTGTGTTGGGGGCCCAGGTCAAACAGACACAGATCAGACACAGAACTCCATGTGGGGCGTCACAAGGGTAGAGCATAGGGGAGCAATATTATCCCTTATCCTGCTGGTCACTCCTCTTTTGATGTAGCTCAGGATACAGTTAGCCTGGATTTGAGCTGCAAATGCACACTGCTGGCTTACTTCCACTTACTCATCCACCAGAACCCCCAAGTCCTTCTCTGCTGGGATGCTTTTAAGGAGTTCTCCCTGTCTATACACACATGTGGAACTGCTGCAACCCAAATGCAACAACTTGCACTTGACCTTGTTGAATTTCATTAGGTTCAAGTGGGCCTGCTTCTCAAGGTTGTCCAGGTCCCCTTCTGTCATAAACTTATTTTGCTGCCCTACTTCTGCATCATCTTTTTATGGAGTAGAGGAAATTCTAAGAAAAGTACTACTGCTCTGTCACTTTATCTACATGTTACCATTAAAAGCATTGCTTGAACAACATAACTGTGTTTAAACTGAAGGTGCCAGTGTCCCCCACTCCCCTTTTTTTCTTTTTTCTTTTTTTTTTTTTGCTACCTGTAGGAATTTTTAAGCAGCCAGGAATATGGTGGAAGCAGTACTGATTGATCTGTTCAGCCTGCCAGCCAACTTACACAGTGACATTCAAGGAGTACTGCATAACACCCTGGAAACTATTGAGAAGTGCTCTTCCACTCCTGCTCCATTTGTGTATGTCATGTGCTGCCAGATGCCAGAGAGTGAAAGGAAAGGTGAACAAGAATCCTTGTTTCCAGCTCTGAGAGATTTCCAGAGTATGAAGGAAGGACTTGAGGTGGTATGTGCTCAGACTACAGCTGCTGTGTTGTACACCATCAAACAAATACTTGATGAAAAGGACTTAAGCATCATTAAAGTTATTCTCCCCACCCTAAGGAAAGAATCAGTGAAAGTATATATAGACCATCTCTTTACTGCAGTCTACCAGTTTGAATTTGAGGATTTAAACGTGGCAACTGATTGTAATAACCTGCAGACGATTGGACCAAAGAGTGAAGAGCAAACAGTTTCTACACAGGATGTGGCACTCATCCGAAGTGAGATTCAGATGCACTTGGAAAGCCTGCCAAGCCTGAAAGGGGAGCTCACCATCCTCAAATCTTCCCTAATTCCAGGTAGAGTGCTATCCCAGCTAACAGATTTTATGTAGACTGCTCCTGAATGAATCTCTTCAAGGGTATTGCAAAATGGGTAAGATGTGGAAATACCTAAGCAAATATCTCCATGTGGTATTATAATAGTGTATCATGTCTGTAAGAGGGGAAGTGACAGTGCAAATACAGTAAAAGACCTGCAAGTCTTTTCCAGAACATGGTCAGAGGAGAAAGAGGCCTAGGTCTAATGAGAGCACTTTTGCAGACAGTAAAATCCCTTTCCCTCTATCTGGGAATTACATGCTTTGAGAGTTACTGTCGTATTCTGGAAAGGCAGGGTAGGACTTTTTCCCCAGTCTGCAGCCTCATGCACGCCTGGCTGATCAGACTCATGGCTCAGTGTCCCCGCTATGACAAGGTACAGCTTACTGCATCATGACTCTCAAACAATTACGGAGTCTCTTGGTTCAGAGGAAAACTAAGAGGTTCCCTACTGCAAAAATTTGGAACTGTGTTTCCCTTAAAAACATGTCTGAAGTGATCCAGGAAATAAAAGGAACGCAGATTACTTAAAGCCATCTGCCTTCATTATGTTTCAAGCTTTTTTCTGCGACTTTTACCCAACTGCACAAAAGATATTTCAAAACTTAACTCTGATTATGTCACTAAGTTTGTCAACCATCAAGACAGCAAATACCGGTTCTGGGGCTTTTTTTCAGGATTCAGCTTTGCCATGCAGAACCCTCACCCTAACATGAAACCCAGCAACTCCTTTTGGTGCATGAGATCACAATACAGACTCTGTACTGTAAAAACAGAGGACTTTTCCAGTAATGTGAGAAATTCTTGATCCTTCCACTGCACTTCAAAAAGATGTTTGAGATTCTTGAAGTCTTGAGAACTGGTACTTCATTTGCCACTTTGAAATAATAGAATCGTAGAATGGCCTGAGTTGAAAAGGAACTCAATGATCATCTAGTTTCAACCCCCCTGCTATGTGCAGGGTTGCCAACCACCAGACCAGGCTGCCCAGAGCCACATCCAGCCTAGCCTTGAATGCCTCCAGGGATGGGGCATTTTAAACATTATTAAAAGTTGATTAAAAAAATATATTCTCCTTTCCTGAGTGAGTTGCCTCTTCTCTTGGATTTGCACAACACCTCTGTCAGGAGCCAGGCAACATCTGCCAGGCCTCCATCTCCTCAAACCTCTCGGAGAATTATGATTATGAACAAGAGGGAGAATTTAAATGGCAGAGTTGAATAAGAGGTAAAGCAGCACTGAACTTCTTTGTCTGATTTCAGTTCTCTTCAGTATAGAGCCATGTAATATTTGGACTAGTCTTGTGTTGAAAGCAAGTGCTTGTTGTCTTTCTTTCTTTGTCAGATGACATCTTCCTACATGGATTCACCACAAGGACAGGTGGGATCTCCTACATACCAACTCTAAGCTCCTGCAATCTTTTCAGCAGTTCTAAGCGGAGGGATCCACAAGCTGTTGTTAAAGAAAACCTCCGCAGGCTTGCTAATGCTGCGGGATTTAATCCAGAGAACTTTCACAGAGTCAAGGTATGTTATCAAACAACGGGTCTGTGTAAAATAATCAAATCTTCCTTTATATATCACTGGCTAAAAGTGTAGGTATTACTTTTATCTTTCTAAGCAAGGACCTGCAAAAAGCAGAGCAATTAAAACATTTATCCTGGCACTTTAAATGAGGAAATTGCCATCCAGACTGTCAGCCGTTGGTACAATATGGAGCAGCAGCATTGTTTCTTCCAAGTATATTCTAACTTTTGATTTACCACAGAGTAGAATAATCAGATAAACAATCAATGCAGGTTTTCTTAAAAAACAAACAAACAATACCACTTCTTTAGTGTCTCTCTACTGTTACATCTGCATGGTATTTGAACAAGAGAGTGCCTCATTTCCATGCATAGCAACTGGTGCAGAAGAGATTTTTCTATGCAAGAAAAATCCCAACCAAAACCACAACCAACTTGCATTAATCAGAATGTTTTTTACTGTCTCACCACTGTACACATTGTGCTTTTATTTTGACAGACTGATCATGCTAACGCTGTGTATGTAATGGGAAAGACAGAGCCTGACAGCTATGATGGAATAGTTACAAATCAGAAAGGTGTTACAATAGCAGCTCCAGGGGCTGATTGCATACCATTGCTGTTTGCTGATCCTGTCAGAAAAGTCTGTGGTGCTGCTCATTCTGGTAAGGACTTTAAATCACAGAGATCAAAATAACTAGAAGACTAGAAGAATAACTAGAAGAATAGCTTGTTTACTAAGCTATGAAATTTGTTGATTTCATAGCTGTAATAATAATTACGTGTACTTCTTGGACGTGAAAACTAAATAATTTTTTTCTATGCACCATCAAACTTCATGTGGAAAGAACAGTTATAAATCCAGTGCCCACAAAAATCACTTTGGATTGGATGAAAAGTTTGGTTGGCCTAGACAATGAGTGTAAAACCAAAGCAAGGATGGGTATGACAGTGTGCAGATATGTCTGACTTTAGTATACGTCCCAAATGTTAGGCTAGATCATGTATACTGTGATAAGATTTTCCTGTTGGAGCTTTTTTATTTCATAAAAACATTGTATTTATCAGGGATAATGCAGAGCTAAGAGGTTATTCACAGCTTTGATGCTAGTACTCACCTTTATATGGTGGGAAGCTTCACCCCTACATGGAACTTGTGAGTAATTGTCTACTTCATACAGTTGTTCATGCCTTCAAAAAAATTATCCAAAATAAAGACAGATCTGTGACTCATCCTAAGAGGATGAAGACTTTGACATTCCTTCAATAAAGCTGTTGTTCTCCAGCCTAGTGAGTTTGGGTCAGGGAAATGAAGAGGAGTGCTAAGTCTATCATGGCTGTCTGGGAGACAGGGGAAAGTGGTTTATAATGAGGAGAAGGGATGGAGAGAATTTTATCCGCTCTTGAAAGTTTTAAGAATTTGAAGTTATACACTGTTAAGTGTTCAATACTAAAAACTGTAAAATATGGTTGATCTGCAGTTGTTCCTTTCTTTGCTGCCTCTTCATTTTTCTAGTCCTGCCTTTTCTGACCTACCACGTGGTTCCCTGAACACATACTAGTGCCTTCTCCAAGAATACCTCCCATCTACAGTCTGAACTCCCACAGTCTGTCTCCCCAGTTTTGGCCCTCGTTCCCATATCACAGTCACGGAATCACAGAATCACAGAATCACCCGGGTTGGAAGGGACCTCAAGGATCATGTAGTTCCAACCCCCCTGCCTAGCAGGGCCACCAAACATGCACATTCAGATCAGGTTGCCCAGGACCCCGTCCAACCTGGCCTTAAACACATCCAAGGACGGGGCATCCACAACCTCCCTGGGCAGCCCGTTCCAGGGCCTAACCACTCTCCTTGTATAGAACTTCCCCCTAACATCCAACCTAAATCTTCCCTCCTTCAACTTGGATCCATTTCTCCTAGTCCTGCTGTTGTCAGCCCTTTTGAAGAGTTTACTCCCCTCCTGGGTGTAGGTTCCCTTCAGGTATTGATAGGCTGCAATGAGGTCACCCCGCAGCCTTCTCTTCTCCAGGCTGAACAAGCCCAACTCCCTCAGCCTGTCCTCATAGGGGAGGTGCTCCAGCCCCCTGATCATCTTAGTCGCCCTCCTCTGGACCCTTTCCAAAATCTCAATGTCTTTCTTGTACTGAGGGCTCCACACCTGGACACAGTACTCCAGATGGGGCCTCACAAGAGCCAAGTAGAGAGGGACAATCACCTCACCACAGTCTTCACAGTCTTAAAGTTTTCCTTTCCTAAATCCTTTCCTTCCTGTCCAGTCCCACCTCAGTTGATGTCTAACTTGAACACATGTTGCTACAAATACAAATACAGACAATCAGATATAGGGTCATTTCAGTCTTTGGATGTAGAAAACAGGAGAAGTTATTAGGATAACCTGGCCTTCAGAGTGAGACACTGCAATGCAAAGACTTCCCAGGACTCAAATTCAGATAGAAAGACTCAAAGATGTGTTTCCTTCAAACTATTCTGAATAATGTCAGAGTGTGAAGTTTGAGGCTGGAGGTCTGAGCCTTCTTTTTTTTTTTTTTTTCTTTTTCTCAAATAACAGTAAAAATATTTTCAACATATTACAAAAATACACTTCTGACTGTAGCATGTTTCTGTCATGATATATCCCCACTTACAGAATCACAGAAACACCAAGGTTGGAAAAAACCTACAGGATCATCCAGTCCAACCATCTACCTATTGCCAATAGTTCTCACTAAGCCATGTCCCTCAACACAACATCCAGCCTTTCCTTGAACACCCCCAGGGTTGGTGACTCCACCACCTCCCTGGGCAGCCCATTCCAGTGCCTGGCCACTCTTCCAGAGAAGTAGTATTTCCTAATGTTCAGCCTAAATCTCCCCTGGCACAGCTTGAAGCCATTCCCTCTAGTCCGATCACCAGTTACATGAGGGAAGAGGCCAACCCCCAGCTCACTACAACCTCCCTGCAGGCAGTTACAGAGAGCAGTAAGGTCTCCCCTGAGCCTCCTCTTCTCCAGACTGAACAATCCCAGCTCCTTCAGCTGCTTTAAATGTTGCAGGATCAGAGGAGCTGTAAAATAGGTTCTAGTTGCCAAAACTAGGACACTTGGAGGAAGGAATTCTGGAATCCTAATGCAAACATTTCTCTCCACTTTAAATCTCCATAAAACGATGACGTAATCATCATGTCACATCATCATACAAAACATGACAGTTGTTTATTTTTTAAACACTACTTTTGCTGAATCTTAATTAATAACGTACTTTTATTTAATATAAAGTTGAAGAGAAAATTTAGATTTTTTTTTTCACCCTCTCATTTCTTACAGGATGGAAAGGCACACTGTTAGGAGTTTCCATGGCCACAGTAAACGCTATGGTATCTGAATACAGATGTAATGTGAAAGATATCCTTGTGGTCCTGGGTCCATCTGTAGGACCTTGCTGCTATAAACTTCCTCGTGAATCAGCTGAAGAGTTTCACAGAATTGATCCAAAGTGTGTGCGACAGTTTGACTCTGCAGCTCCATATGTTGATATTAGAAGAGCAACACGGTAAGTCTGCGGAGTGCATTTCCATGGCAAATAGCTTTTTTATTTTGGCTATTTTTGTGCTGAGTAAACTAGATATGAAAGCAAAAGGACTCATAGTGCTAATTCCACATTAGTTATCAAAATAGCATTGCCCAGCAGTGTTATGATGAGGGTTCTCTCCATCCTGAAGTGCTCTCTAGCACTTTGTAGGTCAACAAATGATACCTTTTGAATGAAAGATATCTACTCACCTTTGCTGGGATTCAACTATTATTCTGCTGTCATACTTTTAGTTTTTGGATTTTATATATATATATATATATATATTAGAAACATTTAATTTGAAATATATGTATATATATTTATTTCAAATTAAGTGTTTCTAATGGCTGCAGAAAAGATTGCATATTGTGGTCCAGACCACAATATGAGCACAATTAGTTCAGTTGATGCTTGAGCTTCTTTCTGAATAGTGTGAATTACAGAATCATAGAATGGCCTGGGTTGAAAAGAACCACAATGATCATCTACTTTCAACCCCCTGCTGTGTGCAGGGTCGCCAACCAGCAGACCAGGCTGCCCAGAGCCACATCCAGCCTGGCCTTGAATGCCCCCAGGGAATGGGCATCCACAGCCTCCTTGGGCAACCTGTTCCAGTGCGTCACCACCCTCTGAGTGAAAAACTTCCCCCTAATATCTAACCTAAACCTCCCTTGTCTCAGTTTAAAACTGTTCCTATTAAATGTGGAGATGTAAAAGAAAAGTTTTGTTTTCTGTTTGTCTTCTTTGAAGGATTCTTCTGGAGAGTGGTGGCATTCTTCCTGAGAACATCCAAGATGATTCTGTCACAGACCAGAACCAAAACATCACTTTCTGTACTGCATGCCACCCTGATAAATTTTATTCTCACTTTCGTGATGGCACTAACTTTGGTACACAGATTGGTTTCATATCAATCAAAGACTGACAGAGTACCCCATAATATGAAGTATTATTTAGACAGTAAGTCTGGTTGCCTTGTGCTCTCCTCACAGAATTTCTTCCTTCTTTGTTTCATGAACTTGCAATGGGAAGTACAAAGCACTTGAGATTCTCCTGCTTCTTCCCTTCCCTGCCATTCTGAGGAAAGAAGAGCTGCCTTGTGTAAGGAGCCAATAATTCAAAAGGAAACAAGGACAATCCACAACAGTAATGAAGCACTTCTGTAATGCCAGGTGCACGTTCCCAGCCAGATGCAAGCCTCTATTATCTTGCCCTCTTGACCAAATATTTCCCATAAACTTCATTATCTTAAGGTAGTAAAAACACACACAAAAAAGCCACTACAGTCTTAATTAGCACCTGGATTAGTCTTCTGAATTAATTTAAAGTTGACATTAATAATGAAGAAAAGGAAACCTGTATTAACTCTTTGGGTTACACCCCAGTGTAGTAATTTCAGCAAAAGGTTCACATTATGAAATTGTGTGCCTGGGATTGTTTCTGTTTGGATTAGTTTAAGGAAGTGCTCCAAGGTACTTAAAGAAAATAATGTGAAGGTAGGACAGAAGCAAGATCCCTCGGGAAAGATACTGCAAACATATTAATGTTTCATTTATTGTGTTCCAAATGAATAACAATTTCGTGATATTCATTTGAACACTCTTTAGTTGTGAAAAAAACCGAACAACTAAGACTTAATATAAGCTAGATAAGATAGCATCTATGTTCATGTTTCCTAAGGATTTTTTCTTTAAATCAGTCGTGCTCTGCTAATGTTCACTTAGATAGTTCTGTAGTGCCAAGTTATTTAATAAATATAAAAAAAAATGAGAGAGAATATAGCCTCAGTTAATTTTCCAGCAGTTGGCACGCTTATGTTCCTAATAAATTCCAAGTGTGCACCGTTTTCTTATGGCCATAGAAAATTTGCCTCCAGATGTTGCAAACAGATGTCGAAAGACCAGGTTGCATAGGGGGCTTTGAACAACCTGGTGTAGTGGGAGGTGTCCCTGCTTATGGCAGTCGGGTTGCAACTGGATGGGCTTTAAGATCCATTCCAACCCAAACCATTCTCTAATACTATGCTTCTGTGTGATAGTTTTTGACGCGAACAGTGAAACTTCCCACTCTTTTAAAGTTCGGTTGTGTTTTGTCCACTAGAGGTCAGTGCTCGCTCACTTTGCTCTTCCATCCTTGGCTGCTGTGTATATTTGGGTTTTCAAACAGAATTTTGTAAAGCACTGAGGAGCACTTTTGCCTGTGTCATCATCTGCCATGTTATTCCGATATAGGTGCTTGAAGAGCGATCTGTTTTTCATTTTGTCGGGCTGTGATTCAGAACTGACAAAATTGAAAGTTTCCTTGTCCTCTGCTAGAATAGATATTTTAAAAGCTTTTATTTTACTTTTGAATGGCACTTGTTAGAGAAAGACTTGGTACTGAGTATGTTGCCTTCCGACTATAACTAAATACTAAAAATATTTCCTCCAATTCTCCTACTTTATTAGAAATATTATCTGCCTTCTGCTGTAGTACCACAGTTTCAATTCAGAATAAAGGTCCAGTTACCTCTTAAAAATCTCACCATGATTTTCATCATTCTTGGTTTCTGTAAATTCACTGTGGTGATGTTCACAGCTGGGGTCAGACTGGATGTTCAAGATCCAGGAGGAACAACGCTCTGCAAGCTTAAAGCTACCAAGCATGTTACTGCATGACAGCTAGTCATGTGTGGCATGTGTATGTATTGTGTGTATGTATATATATGTATTATCAACTTATTCCAAGTATAGAATGATATAAGTACGCTTAAAGACTTGTCTTGATGTGCTGGATTAAAGCAACCTGCTTTCACCTTTCAGTTCTGCCCCTGTGCCCCAGTATCTCAGTGTGAACCATTTTATGGGCACTAATTGATGTAGCAGGAGAATGATGCAGGCAACTTCCCTTCTGCTGTTTCAAGTACGGAGGCAGCAGCACCATGCTGCCTCCATTCAATCCCTGCACCTACAGCTCTGACAGAGCTTGTCAGCTTCTTTCTCCTAATCTTCTTCCTGGGTGGGTTGAGAGCATGCAATCCAAAGCAGTGGAGTTACTCAGCTTACAAGGCACTGCTCAGCTGCTGAAGCACATTACAGATACCCACGTGCCTGCTGTTAGCCCAGCTCACCTCCAAGATGGTTTTTACAATAATGCATTTTGCTTTGTAGTGAGCAAAAAGACCTTGAGGCCATGCTAGTTACCACAGTTCAAATGCTCAAACAGCACAGTAAGTAACAGTAACTTGATAGCGATGGTAAACCCTGGCTTGTTGCTACTTGCTTAAGAACAACAGCAAAGACTTCTTCTGTTTAGAAAAGTACCATTTACAGGTCATGGTAGGACTGTACAAGCTGGGCAGGGTGTGGGAATGAGAAGAAACACCACAGGCTTTACCTTTTAGAAGGCAAATTGATTGCACAGTCTTTGATCATTAGTTCTTTTGCACTAAATTAACCTACACTATAAACCTGTCAAGACAGGAAGCGGGCTTTTGTATATAGATCACTGAGGTGGAGAACTCCAATAAATAAATAATAATAATAATACTGAGTTTCCAAACGGGTTGAGTTGTATATTATGCAGAGTCACTGCCAAAAATAACATATTTATTTCTGATTAAAAAATAATAATAATAAAGCTTAAAGCGAGGTCATGATAAAAAGCAGAAAACATTATTTTGCATCTGTATGGAAGGATTTTTATTTATTCATTTTTATTACTGCTGCTCACTTAAAGGTCCCAAGCAGATTGTACCTGATTCACTGCCACTGGGGAAGCTCCTAAAAAACTTCATGAACTGTTCGTCTGTGCCTTCCTATTGACCTGCTCTCATTCATTAACCTCACCCATGAATAAATTAGCTGCCTCTGCCCCATTATTAAGTTATTAAATAGCATTATTAATTATGATTGTGGTTTGCCCTGAGGGGAGAGCAAATACAGGATCACACTGAATATTGGTTTGGGTAAACATTACTGTGCAGTTAACATTTTTTGCTCATGTCAGTGCTGAACATGGGTCTCTTTAATTGCATTCATATATCAAAATGGAGTGTATGAGATATGTTTGAGAAAGGCTTTATTTTTTATTTCTGTAAAATGGTAATGCAGCACCACTGCAGTTCTGGTGTCTCTTTCCCAACCGTAACATGGTTTCTAAAGCTATCTTTTTTTTTGCCTCCCTTCTTCTTTTCCTCATGCTTAACTCTTGCCCGTTGCTGTCTTTCTGTACAGCACCACTCACAATCCCCCTGCAGGGACTATGGGTCCATTCTCTGCAAAGCAGCACAATTGTTCCTTTCCATTGTATACATACACCTTTTTTTTTTTTTAATTCTAGCAGCAGCATGAAACTTTTATCCTCTAACCCATTCCCATTTTCCAGGTTTCTGCAGGAGCTCCTAGTGCCTACCCTACACAACAAACAAGTCAGTATTCCTGGATTCCCTCATTGCCGTCCTCATTTCCACTCCATGCTCGATTTGCTGTTGGGTGATGCAGAGAGGGAGCTGCGCTGCGCTCATTTGTCCCGCGGCTCAGCGTGTGTATGTGTGCACACTGATGTCGTGTGCACCAGGCTTTTGTTCTCAGAGAGCCTACGTCCTCTCTGAGCTGCAGCCTCCTGTTCAGTAATTTAACAGGACAGTGCAGTGGCAGGAACAGCAAATCGTATATGTGACAGAGGAAATTATGTATTGACCTGCTGAGAGATTTGCATCCCTCTGCGGATGGGCTGCAAGCTCATCCTGTGATGCAGACTTGTTCTACTTTCTGTTTCCAGCAGATACTACCCACTGTTTCCAGATGAATGGCTCACTTAGAAATGTATGTGGATTTACGGACTGTCTCAACTGGGTATATTCTTGTACCCAAGATGCTATTAATTGCTATCTAGTATCACGTTTTCACAAGAACAAGAGCTTTTGCTGCTCTTCTTGCATTAAGTACACAGTGCCTGTGGCCGTGCTGCTAAAAAACATTACTAGCTTTCCCATAGGCACGCAGAGAAATAGGAAGCTAGCTTTTTAAATTCATCCTTCTGATTTGTCATTAGTAAGCGTTTAATTTATAGTAGCATCTCGTGTTACGAATACTTTGCTGCCTCTCTTTGTCTGCAAGCTCATGAGGGTCAAAGGAGGCCTGCAGAAGAATTTCAGCAGCACAGTCCCTGGAGGGCCGCAGGGCCGATGCCTCTGCTCTGCTTCTGCAATTCTGACGTTGTGTCTCCAGGGCAACCTGGATTCTGACAGTCATAGGAGCAAGGGCACGAGATGGATTTCCATTTGATTCCTGAAAGAGAAAAGGGATCTGAGACAAAATCAATATGCCACTCCACTACAGGAGTTCATTTTCACAATTTTATCCAAGGGATCGTTTCCTCTGTTCTTGGTCAAATGTGGTTCATGACTTATAACCATGATTGTTTTTCATCTAAACATCCGAAATGGGTTGAGACTTGAAAATGTGGGGTGCGCCTGCCCACACAACAGAGCATTTTATAAGGGAAGCTAAAAGCAATGTTTGTATTTCAAGATGTATAATTTCACTTTCTGTTATGTGATGTAATGTTTTTAGACGGTGATTCATAATTTTGGCCCAGTGTTTCAGTTTCAACTGATTTTATCAGTAACAGTAATAGAAAGCCCTATCTATCTGATATAAGTATTTTCACATTTCTCTTTGGGCTCTGTCCTAAAGGAATATTCAAGTGCATGCACTGGTGAAGCAAAACATTTCTGTGCTGCTTTGGCTTTCTTTGTTTGAAAGCTATGAGCTTGGCTTTCCTGTGCATGAACGAATGTCAAAAAACGTCAGTTCTAAAAACAAAGTTGTGGCAGGTAGCTCAGATCTTCTAGTAGGTTTTAATAGCTGCTTCTGGCACTTCATAAAATTGATATTAAATGAAACAGAGTTATCCAGACCACTTTTTCTTTCTGAATCTCTGCTTTCTGTTCTACATGATCCCCATAGAAATCTTTCAGAACTTGAAAGGTAAGCAGAGTAAAAAGTGAATTAGAGAAGCTCCTGTGGTAGATGTGGACATTTCTTGCCACATCTGATGCTCAGACTTTCTTCAGTTCTCTTGATTAGCTTGGAACCCTGGTTAGGTTATCCCACCACTGAAACATCCCAGCTTGTGTAACCATGTGCTTAGCAATGGCTGCAACACAGCAGTAGCCCTGATAGTGACATCTGTGTATCAGCATTCCTTCAGTCTGTATTGATGTCAGCATAAGGCACCACTCAGAGGGTGGTGACACACTGGAACAGGTTGCCCAAGGAGGTTGTGGATGCACCATCCCTGCAGGCATTCAAGGCCAGGCTGGATGTGGATCTGGGCAGCCTGCTGGTTGGTGACCCTGCACATAGCAGAGGGGTTGAAACCAGATGATCATTGTGGTTCTTTTCAACCCAGGCCTTTCTATGATTCTGTGGTTCTATGATAAGCAATACTGTCAAAAAAATCATTATTGCATGGTGGTGAGATAGCCCTAAAAATCTCCTGAGCTGCCCCACGTTTACTTGAGATTTTAGGGGCTATAAATCAGTAGCACTTTTTTGTTCTTCACAAGACTGTGAGAACTAAAGATAGTTTCAAAATCTGGAACGCATCTCTTTGCAACATGGTTTGGGTTTCCGTGTATGGTCCAGTGTACAGATTCTAAAAAATTATATTTCTGTCATTTCCTTTAAGAATAGATTCCTAAGTGAAGAATGCCTGCATATATGCTGACCATTAACTGCAAAATTTAGCTGAAGTCCTTTCATTAGTAAATACTAGCATTTTAGCATAAAAGTCTTCTAGCAAAAAGTGCAGGCCCTGCAAAATGGAGGGCTCACATCGCTCTGACTCAAATGTCCTGTAGGACAAAGAGTAAAGATTCAAACAAAGCTGATGGCTGATTTCTTCAGAATGACACGTTTCCATCCATCTTTCAGAGCAACTCTTCTGGTTTTGAAAATTACGAACAGGCTGAAAATAAAACATTTAAAGCTAAATGTGCCCTTGTAAATTAAAACAAATGTTGTGATCTCAATTCATGCTGAAAAAAGAGAGAGCCTACTGTCCACAGAGCTCTCATTACTATTTGTGTGTATCCATGTGCATGAGCCAATCCTCTTATTTCTTCAGTAAACATTTCCTTCCTAGATTGTAGATTGTTATGCTCCCTTTGGTAAATGTTTAGCTATGATATTTAACTCCATTAGTCTTTCATGAGATGATCCTTCCAGCCTTTAATTCTCTAAATTCTGCCCTATTAATGTCAATTTGGTGATAATCAGTTTTCACTTGCATGCTCTTTCAGAAAGAGAATGACATTTGAACTTTGTCAAGGGACTGTTTTTTTTCACAAAGCTATGCTTCTCAGTGCAAAAAAAGCTTGAAGGAGCCTTAATTGAATAACCTTGGCCTCCCTCTATTCCTTCTTTTTCAAAAGAGTCATACTCTATTGCACTTCAATTAGGATTTATTTTAGGCTTCCCTGCTAGAACTCATAATCTGTCACATTGTTCCAGAAGCAATCTTCATGAACGAGGCTCAACTCAGTGAGTGAAAAATAGTCGGTATTTTTGAGCTGACACAGGATTTATAGTAGGAGAATATTTTTAACTTTAGCAAAAAGCTTTAAAACCTAATGTTGGAAAGCTAACATAA